ATGGTGGCAGAGGGCAAAGGAGCTGGGGCTCTCTGCTCATCGGTGAATCCAAGGGGATGGAAGGCAGAGTGGGGAAGGACATTTGTCCATACCTGAGGCTCTCTGGCCTCCAAATGTGCATGTGGACATCTGTGGCCAGGACAGCAACCGACTGCAGCCAGAGAGACCACCTGCGCAATTGTCTCTGACAAAGGCATTGAGGATCGTGCCCCGTCATGCTCCCGTTATGCTTCATGACTGTTGCTACATATTCCACCAGGGTGTTTAGGGTAAAAAAGGAAACCAGTGAAAGTGACATAAAGTCCAAGATAGCGGGTGGCCCGCTGCTACTCCACAGAAAAGGATTCTACTGGCAGGCTGACAAACAACTTGTAGCCAGAGAAGAATACAGAAAGCCCTAACGAAATAGGGGCATGTGGGAAGGGGGGGTTTCCACATGTTTTAGTAGACTGAGCAAGGGAAGAATTATTCCATCTATCAAGCCATTCAACAATTTAGAAATTCACAAAGAGGAGAAATTCCAACCCGAGGGAGCATTTTATAATAATACCACATTAGCCCCCACAGCTTAATTCAAGGATCAGGCTCCATGGTGACCAGACAACACAACTTCTATCAGTTGTCCGTCCCCCTTTGGAAGCCCATTTGAATAGAAATGACATGACAATGTGACAATATGTCTGTTGCAGCCCTGAAGTCACCGGACAGGGCAGTTCTGAAGACCGAGTGCTTTACAGATTCTCCTCTCAGCAAGGCTGCCCGTGAAATCTTAGCAAAGTCTCAAGGTTCTTCCAGACTGGTTATCACTTTTATTACTGGCTGAGTCAGACAAGCTCTAAACCAACTTGTCAAGACAACAAGAATGAGAAATACCCAAATGAGACAGTGCTTTGTAGAGGAAAATAAACAACAGCACACCGGCAAATGCAAAGCTTTTGGAGCTACAAGTCACTTATTTTGGTATTTTTCCTCCAAGGGACTTTGTACTAAATAGGAATCAAATTGATTTGCTATAATGGTGCTTGGTTGGCTCTGGAGCACAGAAAGCTCTGACCACAGGACTAATAGAAGAAGATGGAGTTTCTGAGACCAGTGCAGTGGAGAAGCCAAGAGATGGACGATCTTGTAAAAACTACCCATTCTCGATGGTTCTCCTGAAAACATCTAACTCAGAATTATCATCCCAAGAGCAGCCGTCCGGGGGAAGAACTAAAAGATGGACTTGAGAGCTCCACTTCCCAAAGGATCTTCATTAATTTCATCAAGACAAAGTTAATAATCCATGACACAAAGGTTTTATTTTTTCTTGAGTTAGTTGTTCTAAACATGTTAGAGTCTTCTCGATAAATCTCACAGCTAGAGGCTAGTAGAAATTAGTTTGTCTTCTATACTGTCATTAAGAAATAAAGAAGTGGTAATAGCTACTTGGGAAACTCGAAGAGAATGGCTTATAAATGAGATGAATCTAGGAGCTGCCCAAATGGTTGTTGGGCAGGGTGAGTAAAGTAAATCCGTGTATTTCCCTCTCACCACACCCCTTCTCGAGGCAGAGGCAACAAATGGAGATGGAGATTCCTTACATAAAGTTCTTCATTTATATAAATATATATAAAGAGACTTCTAGAGACAATTTAACTTGTGTTAAGATCTGCATTATTAACAGATCCACCCCATCAGTCCTTACTGAGGGTCTCCAATGAGCAGAGTCTTGTAAAAAGGGCTCAGTGGGTCTCCCCAGACATACATGGCCTCTCCTCTCCCACAAAAGGCAGCTCTGCCTGAGTGCCTGCAGGAGTGGTGTGGACAGAAAGCAGTACACAAGGCCTGCGATATGGGTCTAGACCCAAAGGAAACGCTCTCCTACTTGCTGTGTTGCTCTTACAGAGCATGCTCAGGGGGGTGCCTGGGTGGCTCAGTCAGTTAAGCTTCTGACTTAGCCTCTAGTCATGATCTCGCAGTTCATGAGTTCAAGTCCCGCATCAGTCTCTCTGCTATCAATGCTTTGGAGCCTCTGTCCCCCTCTCTCTCTGCCCTACCTCCAGGGGTTCTCTCTCTCTCCCTCTCTCTCACAAAATAAATAAATAAATAAATTTTAAAGAGCATGCTCAGGAAGACAAGTGGATTATACCTTACAAAATTAAAAAAAAAAAATGAGGGGTGCCTGGGTGGCTCAGTCGTTTAAGTGTCTGACTTCGGCTCAGGTCATGATCTCACAGTTTGTAAGTTTGAGCCCCGCGTCGGGCTCTGTGCTGACAGCTCAGGGCCTGGAGCCTGCTTCGGATTCTGTGTCTCCCTCTCTCTCTGCCCCTCCCCCGCTCATGCTCTGTCTCTCTCTCTCTCTCTCTCAAAATAAATAAAGATTAAAAAATTTCTTTTTTAAAATGAGACCATGTTTGCTGGAAACCCCGAACACACCTGACCACCTCCTCTGTAATGACATGAATAGGTCAGTCTTATTCTAAATGCTTTCTATACATTCCCTCACTTAATTTTTATTATGTCCCTAGGGGGTAGACACTTTACATTCTAATTTACGGGACAGGAAATAGAGGCACAAAATGACAAGTAAATAATAAATATTTTGTTAGTTACTAGAGTTCCTGGGATTTGAACCCACACAGTATGGCTCTTGAGCTGCTGCTGCTGTGCTGCTGCTACTCTTACTATTATTGCTGCTACTGCTATTACTACCAGTACTGTTACTGCACCGCTATTACTACTCCTGCTGTTATTGCTACTGTTGCTACTACTAACACCACTCCTGCTACTACCACTGCTGTCGCTTCCACCACCACAAGATGTCTCTGATGTCACTCTTCCATCTTGCTCTTGATGGAGTGCCTGGGTATCAGCAGGAACAGACAGAGGGAGGTAGGGTGGCCAGGGTTCCAGGTGTGATATTGCATTTACCATATTTGATGATAACCAGCCACACACCTCGGAGCTGTGCCTTTGTTTACCCTCTTCACAGCTGTGGGCCATGTTAGTATGCTCTCCGCCAGATTCCTCATCCAGCCTGCTGGTCTCCTTTTCTCTCCTGTCCTCCTAGACACATGCTTTGCATCTAGAGTATCTAATATGCCACCAAAGAGCCCACATTTTAGTCCGTGAAAAAATAGGCAATCATAGGCCTTAATAAGAAGAACTTCCATTCTCCCACCACCCACAGCCTATACAACACATACTTGTGCAGTGGAAAGGGGCCCCTCCTGCTCTCCTCAAGTAGAAAGACTGCAGTGACCAGGCAAGAACTGGGAAAAATTGATGCGGTGGTGGCGTGGAGCAGGGACAAGGCTGGAGAGGGATGAAGCCCATCAAGGGGAGACCACGCCTGGGAGTAAGACCCTCCTAGGGTCTGACCACCCAGAGAGTGATGGGGTCCCTGCACCCTCCTGCCCCAGGCGAGGATACAGGGATGGGCACACACTGACTGGAGTCAATCATCTCACTCTGCTTCCATCCATGTAGAGAGTGCACAGATAAATGCAGAGGCCCAGTGAAGGGGATTTACTTGGTCCTGACCTCTTCTTCCAAGCTCCAAAAAAGGAAGAATGCAGAGCAGGCCAGCAGCATCCAAACATATAAAATCTTGCATTAAGCACCTTCCACCCCTGACCCATATGCCCAGGACTCTCGGGTCCATGAGCCCTGCAGGGGCCTTGGTCCGCTCTCTTGGCCAATCCTTCACCATGTTAGAAAGACCCCAGACGTTGTGGTGGCTCCTGGGAGCAGTGGACATGGGGGTAGTGGGAATTACTCCAGCTAAAATCTGTGTCTGCTACATTCCCTCCTCAACCAAGAACATATTTCTAGTGTTTACCATCTTTTAGGGCATGTTTCCCTTCCCCCTCCCCAAACATAAGATTATAGAATGGATTTGACGCTTTGGCAAATTACACATGTACCCAGACCACTCCAGAGATTCTAATAATCCCCCTCCCCAAAATGTGTGCCTCCTGATAAGGTTAATACCAAAATGTCCTGGGATGCAACAGATACTCAGGTGGTAAATACAGCATATCTCTGTCCTGAAACCTGATTTCCACTCGTCATGCCTGGCTGGGTAAAGAAGGTATAACTAGTTTCAAATGCTGAATGGCAAGCATATCACATGCACAAACTTCTGGGTAATTTCTGCAAACCCAACTGGGAGAAATTTCCTTCTGTTATGTGTCTCCCACCAAGCATCAAGCGAAAGTTTCCTTATGCATGGAAGTCTTAATGGAGAAGTGGATTCTGAGCTGCCAATGGGCAGTCTCCACTGTGTTTCATTGCTATCCTCAAACATCCAGAGGGAAAACGACCTCTCACAATAGGTACACAACTCGCCATCCTACTCCCTGGCCCCAGGAGAAGCTAACACTGATTGCATATATGGCATCAGGTGTGGTAGAAGCACTAACCGGAAGTACTCTGTACCTGTTGCGTTGGATGGAGTACAAGAGCTAGGCATGTCATGGTCCTGCCCTTAGGCCTCCCCCCGCTCAGCTGGGACTCCAGGAATGTCCTGGTTGGCCTACACCTTAGCACTCAGCAGATGAGCTGAGACACTCCCTAGTTGTTTCACAAGAGCTATGTCTGTATTACTGACTTTCTACAGGGAAGACCCTAAAACAGGTTCAAAATGCTGACTCCCCACAGGAAGGCTCCACCTCCAATCCTGCCAGACGAACCCATCACCCACAAAGTAGTCAGCGCAGAAGCCTGAGAGACAGTAATGTCTTTACTCCCTGAACATGTAACTTTTAAATACAAGAGGCACCCAGTGAGCTCATATGGCCCGTCTGCTGACAACAGGCATAATTGCCTGCTAATGCGGCTCAGAGGCACTGCCCAGTTGACTGGTTTCAATTTCAGCAAATGACAGGGTTCCAGTAATTAAAGTTGGTGGGCAACAGTGCTCAGCTGAAGCTGTGGCACATCTTTGCCCGTTACCTGTGGCAGGCCAAGGGCATGAGTGAGACTCCCTTCTGGAGGGAGCTTGACAGGTGAGCACTGACCTGCAGCATCTGGAGGTAGCCTTCCTGGGGGTCACAGAGCAGGGAGGAGATGCGGTGGTTGTTCCTCATGCATTTCTGGTTGTCCTTTGCAGATGGGAAGATCTGCCGGACCACAGTCATCCTGCCAAGGGCGCTGTGCACCAGATCCAGGATCTCTGGGTCGCTGATTTCCTGGGAAGATAATCAGACCCATGCTTACCATAGACTCACAAACTGCGCCTGCAAAAGGCCCATCAGGAGGTATCAATGGCCAACAGCCTAAATAGACAAAGGGGTCAAGGGACTGGGCCCACGTCACACAGTTCATTAATAGGTTATTTTAAAATAATACTTGCTAACCCTCAAATACACACAGAATTACTCAACAGCTGTCCTGAAGACCAGAAAAAGATGTCTGTGGCCAAGCCACCAGTGCGTTAGCTTCTATAGGGTCCAGCTCTGAAGAAACCATGCTGTCAATGTCATGGTAAGCATCAGTTGGAAGTAAAAGCTAAACTTCCTGTTGGGGGTCATCTCCCTGAGAGAAACAAAACTGGTTTTCTCAGACAAAACTGACCAAAATGCCATGAGTTTCCCTTAATTCTTTAATGATTAGCTTTGCTTTTTAAGATCCGCATACAAATTTTGAAAATATATCCACTCATTCATTCACTCATTCATTGCACAAAATCTGCCCAACATCTCCTGTGTGGTTTGTTCTGTACTAAGTACTGGGGACACAGCCTTGAATGAGTCAGGCCTAATCCCACCCAGTAAAGCTCAAGGTTTTTGTAGCATGAAATAGGCTGAGTGCTGCAATAAGGAAATCTAGGGGCACAGGAAACCCATTGTGCTTCCATGTTAGATGTCTGCTAAGCTCTTTACACACATTACCTCATTTGGTGCTCACAACAATTTCAGGAATTCTAGGAGGTACATCCTATTACTATCCCATTTTCACTGAGCACTTTCAAGCATGGAAATAGTAAAGGCAGCTGGCCACAGGGAGCTCCTTCCAGAACGAGGCTTCGATGAGGAATTAGCACTGAAGCTGAACCTGAAAGATGAACTTGTTAGGCAAAGTGCTCAGAAGTATATGTAGAGGGAAGGGGCAGTTCAGAGCTGAGTCAGTGGCAGTGCTGCTGAAGACAGAGGCAGCGGGTGACACCCTGTGGCACCGGGTTCCTGGAGCAGCAGCAGGGCATGTGAGTGCCTCGGGCAGAAAGGTGCAGTGGTCAGACGCAACCCTCAAGCTCCTGTTCAGGACCAGATGTGGAGGAAGGGAGAGTAGACCCAGCTAAGGGCAGTGAGGAGCTCTGGCAAAATTTAGGTACAAAGCAGCTACACTCAGATTTCCATTTCAAAACCCTGTGGCTGCTTGCCATACAATGATATAAGACAAGAAGGAATTAGAACTGCTTCAAGGCTAGGAGCAACACAGGAATGACAAAAAAATACAAACTAACACAAATAAAGGGTTTTAGAGGTGGAGTCAGGTTAAGAAAAGTTCTTGTTTATTGTCTCTCAAAAGGGATGGCTAAATCAGTGGTTGGTTGCAAGTCAAAATTTGAACTGTGAATATCCATGTTTTAAAATAGGTCTTAAATCTTCCTCCTTACAGATGACACATTCTAGCTTTGAGGCAATGAACTGGTATAAGTGGAGGTAATAAGGTTAGAAATTAGCGATGGGGAGGGTTCAAATCACTTAAACAAGAATGTTGATGGGTGAACTGGGGTAAAGTCTCTGTTCCAGGAACTCTCTTAGGAACCTGACATAAGCATGAAGACTGGCCAGTTGAAACAACATGCTGGATCTGGGAGAAAGTAAGACATTGAGAGTCATATCCTTTTAGAATGATCGATAGATATAGTTCCCAAGGATGTGGAAATGCAGTAATCTCAAAAGAATTCAAGTAAATCTGGGTTTAAACTACTAAACTTTGTATTTCAGACCAAAGACTATTTCAGGGAAGATAATCTTATTGGATTGGGACCAACAGCCCAGAGGTGGGGGAAAGTGCAAAGGTGAGATGGGCCCAGAACCAGCTAGGCTTCAGGAAACAGAACACAGACTATAGTTGAGCAGGATGTTTGCACTCTGCTCGTAGCTGCCTTGCTAACAGGTCCCCTGCCCTGAGCATCCAACAGTGGGGTGAGGGAAAGCACATTCTGATCGAACAGTATGTAGGACCGTACGAAAGGGCAACGATGGGCCAGTTAGCTCTACTTGGAGAAGGAATACAGAAGATTGGGGGAGGAAATTGTTTTTAACTAAAAAAACCATGAGGTCAGGAAGAACATAATTTGAACTATGCATAAGAGGGTTAATCAGAGCCTGCACACCTTGGAGAGGAAACGGGGAGTCACATACCTTTTGTTTTTCTCACATACTCATTGATTGCAGAGCCATTGTAGAGGCTCTTTTATTGAACCTCTCCTACACTCTCAACTTCCTGGTAGGTCAGTGACACTGCACCCCAAGCGGGACCCTGCAACTCTGTAGGGAGTCTGACTTACAGGGTACACAATACCTTTCTGGAAAGCACGCCCATCATCTTCCCTGGCAACCTGCAGCAGAATCAGGGGTGAGTGGCTAAGTGAGCCAAGGGCAGCCCCAACATAATGGGGTGGGGGACTTTGCTCCTGCTCCCAGCTGCTGTGGTCTCTATACTGTTTTTTCTCCATTCTTCCTGCCCAGAAATCCTTACAAACTTGGCACAGTTCAACCCAACCCATTAGCTGCATCAATGAGGATCTCTGCAGACCCCATCTTCTATGGCCCAGTTCTCATCCACCCCCTCTGGGTCAAAGCACACACACCATCTTCCAGTGTACTCCTCCCTGCCTCCCCATCCTTCTGGGCCTATTCTTAGTGTCCAACACAGAGATAGTTGCAATCAGAATGTAAGAAGTGCAGGTAAAAGAACAGAAGAACAGAAGCAACTCCCTCGGGTCCCTTGAGGGCAATGAAAAGAGTCACCTCTTCTCCCAAGGATGTGTCCCTCCCCTCGGAGAATTCCAACCCTACACCATCTGTCAATTCCAGGAGCTCTGTGTCAGGCTCTCTCCCGTGCTGTTGGTACCACTGTGTACCAACAGAGTACAGACAGGGGTTCACTCACTCCCTGCACCCAGACTCCACAGTGGGCCAGCCTCTGGACCCATGTGAAGACATCCAACCTCTGGGCCTTCCTATGGATGCAGAAGGCTATCCACACAGTCACTTTATACAACCCACCTGGAGAACAAACTTTCTCTTTGTCCCAGTTAAACATTACTTCCAGAGAGTGCTGGTGATGAGCCACAGAAGAAAGACAATGTGTATATATATACTGTGTGACCTCCACTACCCTCACTAAAATCAGCAAGTCTGCAGTAGCAGCAATAATGTGTCATACCCAGATGCCTACTGGGGTGCACAGGCTCAAAATAAATCTTGCTTTTGTTTTATGACTTTGTAAGTTTACACTGCGAAATATATCTTAGGCACAAACATTACATATATTAAGTATGAATAATCAAATGATCAGTGTGCCTTCTGCCAAACTAAGAAATGAAGTATACCCTGCATCTTGGTTGGATCCCTCCCCCCAAATGCTTACCCCTTCCTCCTTACCAGCAGCTAACTTTGTCATGCGATGAGTTCTGTGTATAGCCCAAATAATGTATAACTTTGTCTTATACATTTTTGTTTAGCTTTGTGCAAACTAAACCACCTGCAGGTCCCCTGTGATTGTGTTTTGACACAACTGGTTCTCAAACTTTGTTGTGTATCTGCATCACCTCGGGAACTCGATAAAATGCAGGTCCCATCCTTCACCCGGCAAAGTTTTCTGTTTTCTCCATGAGCTCTCCAGATAATTCCAATACTCAACAAACATTTAAAACCCACTGGTTTAACATTTTCCTAATCTGTTCATGGCAATGGGTACAGCTTAGTTTCATCATTTTCTCAGCTGTACCCTACTGCCCTGTATGCCTCTGTCACCATTAATCCACCCGAGTGTTGCTTACCATTGGAACATTTGTGTCCGTTTGCTACTACAAAGCTTCTGTGCACGTTTTCTTTGTGCACGTGTGTTGGTGACTTGTATGAGAATTTCTCTAGGATATATACCTAAAATTAGAATTCCTCAATAGGAGAACATAAATACGTTCAAATTTACGTAGTAACATCAAATCTCCAAAGTTATTGTACCAATTTATAATCATGTCTGGTAAAGAGATTTCCTGCACCCTTCCCTGCACCTGACATTATTGTAGGACTTCCTAATATTTGTCATCCTGGTGAGTATGAATTGGTGCATCATTGGATTTTGATTTCTACTTCCCTAATTCTTAATAATATTAAGTATCTTTCGTATGTTTATGAATTGTGTTTCTTTTCTTGTATTTGTGTTTATGTCCAATTTCCATTGGGTTGGGTCTCTTGCATATGGATTCATGGGACCTTTTTTTTTTAATTCCAGATAATTCTTTGTCACATGTTATAATTATCTTCTCCAGTTTCTAGAACGTTTAGTAGAATTGGCCTATAAACTCATCTAACCTGGTATGTTCTTTGTAGGAAGATGCTTTATTACTCATTAACTTTCCTTTTGTATATAGGGATTTTGCTCATTTTTCCTTCTGTCCTTAGTCATGTTTTCTTCTAAAAATTCAGCTATGTTGTCCAAACTTTCCAGTTGATTGGCATATGTTGTTCACAATGTCTCTCTACTTCTTCACTCTCTAATGTATCCAAAGCCATGTGCTCCCATCCATTGCTAACAATATTTATTTGTGCCCTCTCTTCCTCTGATGACAGAAGTTTATTTTATAAATACTTTTTAAAAGGTAAGTTTTGACTTAACTGATACTTTTTTATGTGTTAGTCTTCTGTTTCATTAATTTCCACTCTATTATTTTTCTAGTTTCTTTGGATTTATTAGGTGTTATCTCTCCAACTGTTAAGGTATGCAGCTCGGCTGTGGAATCTTACACGTTTTTTTCTTTTCTAATAAAGTGGTTAAGACAATAAATCTACATCCAAACATTGCTTTAGCTGTGTCCCATAAATTATACATACAAATTGTATCACTCATTTTAAAATCCCATTTTGATATATTTTTGACCCATAAGTAATTTACTAGGGATTTTTCAAAATTTTCCAAACATTAGGGTATTCTTTTTACTATCATCCTATTGATT